CCCAGTAATAGTGTGCGAACACTGTAACGGGTACGTACTATTTTCTATTGTTCCTCGTACTGGAACTAATTAGAGTATACGCACATCGTAAAGTAGAGATTCGTGGGGCATGTGGACTGGTGCCTCATGACATGCTTATATAGAACATAAGATTTATAATAAAGATAGTACAACAAAAAATGTATAGTATTAGTCAAAGAAGACATGATTTAAAATATTTAAATCAGAGATAATACCGTGTACTCGGTCACATCGGGTCCGCTCTTTAGTGCAGCATTTGAGTCCATCTTCTCTGTCTTTAACAAGCGGGCTCATCGAGTCATTACTACTGTCTAATGGTATCCCCGTTGTACTTGGTACAACTTGTCGTCAATTCGACAACCGAGTATAAGCAGAATGTGTTGTCTGTAAGCATGAAGCACGAGCTTTAATCATCGGTTCTTGGAGCAACGAGACACTCTTGATAAGAATGTCTCGTTTATTTGCCAGAGGGAACAACTCATTTAGTGCAATGGGGCTGTCGTGTGTTTTGCAAAGACGAAGCTTTTTGTTGACGATTCCTCAATCAGTGGTTAGGGTTTCGGTAATGAACAAGATAGTTCAAGACAGAAAGACTGTTTCTAAAGATTTACTACTTACCGTTTAGGGTTGTCTAGAAAACGAACATCATGTTCGATTTCGTGAAGACGAATGAATCACTTTCCGATGCTCTTCCTCAAACACACTCCACGAACATCCTCCTCTGTATCGCACCTTAAGAGGTTTTATGAGCCCAACAATGCCGGAAACCAACCTAACGATGTATTCCGCGACGACAACTTCTTTGTGTGGGAGTTAAACGTTTGTATTAAGCTTTCGAAGAAGGGACTCATAGAATATCGAAGCTACGATGACCCCGAGTGAGGACGACGCAAACGCGTACGAATGGAATGCCAGCGATGAAGGCCTTCGTGACTGTGTGCACGAAGCTCAATTCAATCGTACTGCAAAGTCGACTGCTCAAACAAGAAAAATTCTTAATAATTTCTTCATCCGACGCAGCATTGACAACCGAATCCAGATGCGTCGAAAGCTGCATGATTTCAAAAAGATACAGAAGGATGGGAACGCAATGGATTCCTTCCTCAAGTTCGATGAGTTATGCATAACAGTGCAAGCCATCGGTGAAGAAGTGTCGCATGATGAGCAACTCGTGATTCTCCTTGGAGTTTGTTGGGAAAATACGGTCAATTCATCAAGATCATAAAAAAACGAAGGACATGGATCTATTCCAATCCAAGAAAATGCTTCGTCGTGAATACGATAGCATTGCTCAAAAAATGAGCAACGAAATTGCTCTAAAGGCAACGCATGAATTCAAAAACAAATGTCTCCCACCGAAGGGTAGCGGAGGAAATTCACGAAAAATGCTACTTCTGTCAAAAGTATGGGTACAAGAAGCAAGACGGCTGGATGAACCCAGAGAACAAGAGGTCAAGCAGCGCTCATGGTACTTGAACACTGTCTAGAAGGGTGGCTGTTAGACAGTGATGCAAGCTGCCAGATGTGCCCATTTCAAGGCATATTCACGGAAATTCGCCCACTTGACCAGTCAATCGCCATTTTAATCGCGAACGATGGCAAGATTTTGGCGGCCGGAACAGCGGGGCAGGCATAGCTTTTTTGCTGAGAGAAAGTCTAGTTAATGTCGGTGATATTTGATCCATACCTAGAGCCAATACGGATCGCATTCCGCTTACTCCCGGAGTAACTACTACCTTAGCCCAAGGCCAATCAACTCTTCCTTTCAAAACATATCTTTATTTCTCGGTTTGAATTGCGGCAATGCCGCCTATATCTAAATATATAGGTTTTTCTATTTAAATAGTAAAACTTAATTAAATGTATGATTACTGGTGATTCCAGCCTCGTACTGACTTGTTGTTTAAGTGTAGCCACACCATTG